GAGGGATTTAAAATCCCTGTGGATGTGGCACTTGGGGACATAATCAGTGGTGGCCTTGGCAGTGCTGGGGAATGGTTGAACTCCATAATCTTGGAGGGATTTTCCAAACTAAATGGTTCTATTATACTTTGAATAATGAGGGATAAAGAAATGGGGGTAACAAAAGCAGAGCAAGTGAAAACTTAAACTCCTGTGAGACCTGACTGACCTACAGGACAACTCTGAGATATTTTTATGGGATTGTTATCGTTTTATGAACCTCAACCATCAACACAGACATCACATGACAAGTCTCCCCATAACCCTCCCGCTGGGGAAGGTCTGTTGAGGTTTTATGGGTGACTTCAGCACCAGACATGAACCTTAAATGACTGAGGATTTGGGAGGAGGTAAATCAATCTAACGGCATTATGAGTTCGTGTGGTTTCCAGAGAGTGGTGCCTTGACTCCAAAAAGAGGGGAGAAAACACTCTCACAGCTTTATAGTTTATAGATAAAAAAAAATTTAATGAAGTCTTACAGCATGAAGGAATTTTTATTGCTGTCAAACTGGTTCATATCGAGGCTGCATTTTGCACATCTTCAGCATTTATGATATTAAGGAGCCATTAAACTGTTCTCCCAGCACTGCATTTGGATTTTGTTTCCTTCCCTCCTTGACTCTCTTTTCCAAATAACCCTCGTCTCTGCAGAGTGTAAACATCCAGAAAGGCTTTGAGTGATGTGACTTGAATGTCTCACGCTGGGAACCAGAGGAATGATCCTTTATCGTGGGACTTGAGGGGATACAAGTCTTTGCCTTTGTTATTTCGTGTTCTTGAATGCTCTGGTTTTATAAACACATCGTTTACCGTGGGCTCTCTCTGAACTTCTCCTCCCTCTCGGAGTGTTGCTGTAAGAGATGATTTCCTGCCTCATGAAAGATGACTGATAGGAGGGAAAAATTGATATCTTGATGCTGGCTGTGCTTTGAGGTGTTTGATCGCTGCCAGATCAGTGATAATTTCTTCAATATCCTCTTGATTTGGGAAAAAAATAACCCTGTCTCCTCAGGAGTGAGTGGAGTGAATGTTATCTTGCCACGACATGAATGGAGATGTAAAATTCACTTGATAGCAGCTGGATTATGGGTTTGGGTTGATTTTCTATGAAATGAGTCCTATCATAAAGGAAATGAGTCCTTTGTGGCCTTTCTGTCTGTCCCTCCCCACTGATGGGATTGATATCAGCCAAACCTGGGAGAGGCAGAAGGTGCAAAGACATGGAATTCCAGGGGAAAAAAAATGTAAACCTCAGCAGCTGCAAGAGGAGAAAAACAGGGAGGGAAAAGCAAATAAAATCTTGGCCATGAGGACAAGAGAAAGAGCCTCAACCCACTCGTGTTTGGTGGGGTCTCCTGGTTAAACATTGTAGGATTCCTTGGAGATTTATGGATATTGTTGAAGGGACAAAGGAAATGCATCTTTTTCTCCAAGGGTTGATCCTTAAATGGTTTTTTTGGGAGCTGGAAGCAGAAATAGCATTTAGTTATTACAGGGCATCCTCACTAGAGGCTTTGGGCTTGATTTTTCACGTGTCCAAGATCCTGAAACTCAAAGCAAGTGGTACAAATGTTCGTGGGGGCTGGAAACAGTGGGGAATGGTTGGACTCCATGATCTTAGAGGGATTTTCCAAACTAAATGGTTCTATCTGTCCCTCCCCACTGATGGGATTGATATCAGCCAAATCTGGGAGAGGCAGAAGGTACAAAGATGTGGAATTCCGGGGGAAAAATGTCAACCTCAGCAACTGCAAGAGGAGAAAAACAAGGAGGGAAAAGCAAATAAAATCTTGGCCGTGAGGACAAGAGAAAGAG